CTCTCTCTCTCTCTCTCTCTCTCTCTGTGTGTGTGTGTGTGTGTGTGTGTGTGTGTGTGTGTGTGTGTGTGTGTGTGTGTGTGTGTGTGTGCATACAGACATAGATCGGTGTGTGCATATGAGAACAATGCGGCGAAGCACGAGGAGCAGGCAGCGTACAAGGTCGGTAGAAAAGAGGAAGAGGAAGAAGGGGAAGAGGCGGAAAAGAATAGTCGAAGGGAGTGCAAGAAGTAGGGGAGTCAGCACGAGAAACGATAGAGGAAGAGGAGGTGGGGAAGAAGAACGGCAGGAAGCAGAGGAAAAAAGAAGAGGAAAAAGAGGAAACGTCCAATACGACAATGCACGAGAAAGAACGATACTAACCTTCCTGCCAGGTTGACGTTGGCATCACTCCACTGGTCATGATCGTGCAAGTGGGGTCGTGCGGAAGCATTAGCATGTGGAAATACACCATGCCTGTCTCCCAAGCCTGCGTCGCGTCTGCAACCCAACGCGCCTCCCCCTTTTTTTGGGATCCGTACCTAGTTTCTACGGTCACCCATGTCCCCGACGCCCGCCCAGCGTAGAGCACTCTCGTCGCACAAAGAAGGACCCGCTTCGATTGCCCATGGTGGGCCTCCTTTTTCTTTTTCCCCCCTTCGGCCTTCTTTTTTTCTTTCCAGGGCCTATGGCAGGCCTACAGGACACTAAACCGAGGCAGTTGCAGGGTAGGACGTCTGCCAGGCCAGACTCCTTAGCTTGTGCAAGGGGGACCTCGCTCCCCTTCCGGCTGCCAAGGCTGCCTGCAACCCCTTCCGGCTGCGACGGTGAAACAGTAGCTTGGATGGCCAACCGGCCACTGGCCTATTTCCAAGGGCACGCCCCTCCGGAATGGCCAGAACCCAGAGAACCCCATTACAACACTCCTTTGACTATATAAAACTACACTACACTCTTCTCTCAAATTCTTTCATTTTTCACTACCTACCTACCACTAAGCATATACAAGAGACCCCGCACAGCTATCTACCTCTCTTGGTGGAGGTAGGTATTGCATATCGTCCCCTTGCCCTTCCGTCTTCCCCTGAAGGTAAAGCTTATACGTTCTATTCAAGCTTTTGGAAAATCGATTTTCAGAAAGTTAGTCCACTTTTGTCGAATAAAAGAGCACTTCAAATAGAACGCATATGCATTGTATTCAAATTGTGAAAATAAAAAATAGTATTATATTCGAATATAATTTTAATTTTAATTTTATTTTATTCAAGCTAAGGAGTTTCGCCTGCTCTCTTTTTGCATTGGCAAAGAGACAGACCCCTGTAACTCTTGGTGTGTTGAATCTGTCAACCCCTAATCATAGATGTGTCGTGTGTTGGCCTTAGGCAAAGCGGCGAAGGGCATAAAAAAAATGGCAGTGTGAAGTTAGAGCCAAGGTCGAGAAAGTGGCAATATGAAACCAAAACCGCAGCCAAATAGTGTGAAGTTGGGAGAAATTTTACGTGCCTCATCCACCACTCACCAAAGGCCTTACTCCGCTATTCATTACAAACACCAAAGATAAAAAATACGGTATTGTATCTTTCAATGTTCTAGCGGAAAATTCGTTCTCATTTTGCACATTTAGCGAGGAGCAGATTGAGGTCGAAGTGGGGAAAATGATGACGAATTTTCGGCTATAACAAGAAAATATATAATGCGATATTTTTTTCCTTTTTGGCACAAGTGGTTAACGACCTACTGATATTTTGGAATTAAATATTATGAAATTTATTAGCAGAGGTCTAAAAATCGTTGAAATGACATGAAGACACTTCAAGTCATTTCAGGAGTTTCGGAAGGATTTGGAATTTTTTTTATTTTTATTTTTTTTCAACGTTGTTTTGTGTCACTTCAAGTTATTTCAAAAGTTTTTGGTGGGAAAACTTTAAACCTTTGAAATAACCTGAAGTAGTTGAAGCTTCTGAAAACGGTTTCATGTCTCATAATCCAAATGTTTGGGTAGGGGAACCTGAAACCGTTTTCAGAAGCTTCAACCACTTCATGTTATTTCAAGAATTTCATGTGAGGAGACTTGAAACCTCATAAATGATTTTAAGTGGTTGAAACTTTTAAAAGTGGTTGAAACTTTTAAAAGTGGTTGAAACTTTTAAAAGTGGTTTCAGTTTTCCCCATTCAAATTTTTGCGAACGAGGATTTGAATCTGTTTTCAGAAACTTCAACCACTTCATGTTATTTTATGAGTTTCGGGTGGGAAGACATGAAATCTCTGAAACGATCCAAAGTGGCTAAAGTTTCTGAAAGCGGATGCTTGGATTAAATGACTTGAAACCGTTTTCAGAAGCTTTAGCCACTTCAAGTCATTTCAGAGGTTTCATGTTTTCCCACCTGAAACCTCTAAAAGAACTTGAAACCTCTAAAAGAACCTGAAACCTCTAAAAGAACTTGAAACCTCTAAAATTCAACCAACACTACATCAAAGTCCATCATTAAAAAAACGTGTGCTTAAAGTTTTAAAAAAAAAATCATATTCCTATAGAGGCCGATCGAGTCTCATAATATTTTTTTGCATCTATGAATAAATTTATCAAATCCATTTAAACAATGTACCCATTCTTCTTAGATTCTCTCATACTTAAAGGAGAATTTCATTAGAGATCGATAAAAAATACAATCCTTAACTCTCCGGCCCTCAATCTAACCTTAAAGAAAAGAAAAAAAGTCACCTTAGTTACAAAAATGTAAGTAAAGTTTTTTGCATGATGCATGAAGGATCTCACGATAATCATTTTTTGTTGATTACTCCCGTATGAATAATCATCTCGCAAATTTTAAAAACACGCTTTTGTCATAAAATCAACCTTTGATTTTTGTGCATTATTACATCTTACTCCAACAGTACGAATAATCGTCCTGCAAATTTTGAAAACACGCTCCTTATCATAAAATCAACCTGTGATTTTTGTGCATTGTTACACATCTTACTCCAATAGACTATCGAAAATCATGAACTACACATCTTCTTAATTTCCAACAGTCCGCTTATCTGTACACTTCGGCGTAAGCTTACAGTTACAACATTTTTCTCTATGATCTATCTTGCCTCATTTTGGTTCAATTCGCCATTCTTCTTGTACTTGATGAATAATAACAAATCATTAATCAATCGGATCTCATGTATCAACTTACAATTTTCTCCCAGAGAAGTCATACAATAAAATTCAGAAAAACACAAAGCAAACAAGTGATAGCTGAACTTGACGATTTTTTCATACAAATCCCGACCATCTGTTGGAGTACTGCCTCATTAGCACATGTATCCATGCTTCAAATTTAAGGCAATTAACTTCTTAATTGTAGTAATCTCGATTGTCTTTCATCCTTATTCACTCCTTCTGCTCAACAACTTAGCCCCTCTTCATATATTTTTCGGAAACACCTTTAACCTCTTGCATTTACCAAAAGTCAATTAGCAAGTTTGTTACATTCATTATCGAGGTATGTAAGAAATTGAAGAAGCATCTCGTTCATGCCAATGACCACAGTCAATTTTTTTTTATTTTTATTTTTTTAGTATCTATTATTATAATATGAGTAGTCAATCAATTTACCAGTGTTCTTAATATTGAAATGCAACTGATAGGAAGACTCCAAAACCGTAAGGTTTACCAATTATGAACCTTCTGCTAACATGGATACTGCATTAAAAAAAAAGAATGACGAATCGGTCTCCACTTTTGCACATCTTTGTGCTTCAAAGCACACTTCCTAACCAATTTACTATTATTATCTCACCTTACCAGCTTTTGCAGTTCAAACTTCTCATACATCATCCTTGTTTTTTTTCAATTATGTCACATTTGCTTCCTCTCGGTTAGTAAGCCCGGGGTGATTAAGAAACAGTTTTATCATCTCCTTCCTTATACTGTACCGAGCAACATACCAAACAATGTTTCCCCTTAATTATGGTCAATACGCACCATCATCAAACCATCAAGCGTATTTTTTCGTTTCATCACAGTATCCTCCGTGCACAAATTCTCTTTCTCCTTAACGAAGTTTTTTTGACATCCTTACAAATCACCTTTCTAAACAATCGGACCTCAAAGTCACACTTCCGAAACGACCGAAAAATTTGTCTCTTCAATCGCTATAAAACATGATTATGAGATGAACGAGATATATTATAGTCATGGTGTAACCATTATGGAGCCTCATTGAACTGTTTGAGTCAGAAACACACATTCTCACTCACTTATAGCCTGGGGAAAACCTATAGAGTCACTGAACATGTACAAACCACATCAGATTCTTTAGGTGTTGTTCTAAAGTTGAAGTTTGACGCCAATTCTTTTGTTTTCTAGGCACATCACCCTCACTTTTTGCATCATCGTTCTCTCTCACTCCTAATCCACACCGACGCTTATAACCAATTTGGAGTAAAAGAACCTTATCCCTAGCTTCCTCAATTCATCATAGTATGTCACATGAATCACAAGACGCCAAAATGCATCTAAATCATAAAAAAAAACAATAATCCTTAAACAACTTGAATAACGACCCCACTTATAAACTTTGGATGGCAGAAAAGACTCACACCAAGAAAGGGAAGCGAAACCTAGTCAATTTTTTACGAGGAGATGAATCAAAACAAAAGTCCCGTAAGAGTTCGTATCAGTATTATGGATCTGCAAAGAAACGATACTACAATATAAATATTTAAGAACTTACCTTCCTGAAACGGTTTCTTACATTTTATCAACCACCCTATCTGCCTAACAGTCAGTCTTCACCATTATCGACCCAAATTTGCATCTGCCTCAACACCTTTTAGTTTTATGCAATCATATCCCTCCACGCACACACAATTTTCACTGATATAACTCAATTATCGACACATAAATCAATAATATTTCATAAACCTGGTGAAACTGCCTCAACAACGGAATGAAACATGTAATGCATACATGGATATCCCTCCGCCAAATCTTCGTCATTCACTTTTTTTTTTTTCTTCAGTGTTTCTCGCTTCCTTAATCTTCATTATTTACTCCTACTTATATTGTTATCATTGTTCAAATATTGACACAACAGTTCGATAACATTTTTCTCCATATGTAATATATCTTCGACTTCACAACGAAACAAAGGTGCAATCATATACTGTCCTACCCCGCATCACCGTAGCAAAATATAAACTTTATGATTACGCCTCTCTTTGTCAATCACCTTTAAGATCGTGGACATGTGTTTCAATGGTTCATGAGATGTCAGCGACCCCCACTAAAAACGGGGTAGGTTTTTTTCTTTTATTTTTTTTCCATTTTTTTTTACCTCTTTTTTTTCTTATGGATTTTTTTTTTTTGATTCTTGTTTTGTTTTCTGCTAAATTCGTTATGCCCCTTCTGAATGTGTTGTAAGCAAGAGCAGTAGAGAAGAAAATCTTAACGTGGCTATGAGTCGGAGAATGTGCATAATTGAGAGGAGTTGCTATGCTAGGCGTAGCGGTACAAAAAAATGTTTGATGCAGCCTTTCCCCAACG